AGATTTGCAAACGATTAATTTTTGAACTAGACTTCAGATTTTCGCTTGTACTCGTGTTGAATTCTAGGTTCCGGAAAGCGTGATTGGATTAATCCTCGGTCCACAAGGTCGATCGATCATGGATCTGCAAACGAGCACAGGCACTGTCATTCAGATCTCCCAAAAGGGTGTCTATTTGACAGGCACACAGAATCGTTTAGTTACTATCACCGGAGCACAACCGAACGTCCAATGGGCTGCAGATGTGATTGAACAACGACTCCAGGCTGAACGGCTGCGACGCGAATCGTCCTCGTCCAATCAACCGACACCACCACCAGCGGCAGCAGCCACTGCTGGACCAATTACGGGTTCCGATGCCGAAGTCCAACGCAACGTATCTTTGTTCTATCCTCAAGCAGTCACTGCCGGTCTATACGGTGATCCTCAACTATCAGGAGGTTCATCCATGCATATCCCGGTCACATCTGGGTCGTCCACAGGATTGACCGCGGCTGCTGCTGCGGCTGTGGCAGCCGAATCCACCGTCGTTCAGCCCCAGTCACAACAACTAACTCAGGCCCTAACCACGACGTTACAGCCTGTGAAACGAGAGAGCGATACGCACGGATTTAGACAACCACCTTGATTTGGAATCTCGCGTTGTATCCACACTAGTTTACGCACTTCCCCCTAATGCAACCAAGATAGTATGGGGTTTTTTGTCCGCTTCACCCGGTTCCATCTATGTACTCCAACGAAAACAACAACAACAACAACGGCTCCATCCGCCCAGCCTCTTGTCTTTCACATTCAATCCCTACCCTTACCTTTCTGCCCTGAGAAAACCAATATTTACTGCTGGAGTCGAACAAAGGTTCCACCACCATCGTCACTATCCATTCGGTCAAATAGAGCTCCTCGATTCTAGGCTATGTGACATTGATATGTGATTCATCGTGCTTTTGGCTTCGTCTTATCATCCCTTTCTCCAACATCCCCCTTTTCAATTTGACAACAACACTATCAGATATTTCAAACTCCACAGTTTCTCTCTTGCTTGCGGCACATGTCAATCCGCATCACACAGAATCCCACTTCGTCGTCGTTAGAGAGATACATAGTTTTCCATTTTTGCATCCAGCCGGGCTCGAATTGGTTTTCATCGGATTACCTCCGAATCTTGCTGTTGTTGTTGTTGTTGTTGTTCTCACAACCCGCGGCCTCAGTTGACTTCCTAGATTCCTCTTCTACATGCCCTCTCTCTCTCGCGC